GGGGGGGGTTCTTCTATAGGGTGGGGGGGAAAAGCCGGGGGGGCAGGGGGGGGGGTTCGGGGAAGTTCTTTTGGGGTTCCCCACCCCGGGCAGGGGGGTACGCCGGGTATTCATATTCACGGCTTGGCCCCTTGGCAGTTTTGGAAGCCCCGGGGGCAGGGTTCGAAAATCCGAAACATGTTGCATTGGATCATTTTTTTTGGGGGAGAAGAGAGGGGTGTTTCCTTCCATGGGTTTGTTGGTTAAGGGGCCCCAAAGCGGAGGGGGGGGGGGGGGGGGGGGGGTCAGTAGACAACAACAGAGATTTACACATTAGAGGATGAGTGAGTGCACAAGATACCAAGAATTCATAATGCGAGCGTGACTGACTGGCGGAATCGCTGCGACAAATTCTCCGAACCCGCACGCTACACACGCGCGCCGGTGCCAAGCTGCACGCGGCCGAGTGATCGCAGCAACGCCCGGGCCGCACACTCGCACCCTCTCGGGGGATACGATCTTGTGGTTGCTGCTGGGATGGACCTCAACTCGTTTACATACGCGGGTAGGCTACTGCTGTACAGCAGTAACCGGGTACTCAACAGACACCGACGCCAGAGGCCGCCAGCAACACGCGCCGATTCTAGACATGCATGCTACAAAACAAATATATTAATCTACCGAAAATTTTACGTAGTCTTCATGAACATTGTGTGATTCGCGGTCTTTTCGGGAGTTTCGTTTCGTGGAACACTCACATCCGGGGCAGTCCTGGTCGCACTCGACGGTCTTACTGAAAATGCTGTTGTGCTCCTGGAGTATTCCGGGGAGGTCGGGGCATGGTTGGACACGGATGAGGTAGGAATGAGGGCAAGCGGGGGGGGCGAGGGATATATGAACATGTGCTTCCGGGGGGTGGGGGGTGTACTCATAGTCGTGCATGCCGTAGTCGTTTGACCATTGACCCCGCATCCCTACAAAGCCGGGACGGAGCACGCCGGGTTCTCACCGGACCAGGCTCTCACATCACCAAGCGCGAAGCGCCGTGACGTATTCGGCGAGTCGCATGAAGGGTGAGCTGCATCCTGCTAAGGGTGTTCGGCATCTTGTGCTTACTTCCTTGCGTACGGATGACAGCTGCGTATGACTTAATTTACTTTCTGGTGCTTTCACTTCCAGAGACAGTTGTAAGCACTGTGTAACTGCCTCGAGGATGCTTGACCATTTTAACACAACGTGGTGCGATCATCCCCCTTGCGCGGAGTGAGGGTTCTCCACCCCGCACAACATGATGTACTCGACCACCATTATGGTTACCGCCAAAAAAAAAAACGAGGTAAAAAAAGAACGGTAACCTGGTTGTCGAGTTCACGAAGTGAATTGGCTTGTTTTACAACGTCGTTGCCAAGCGACGAAAACCCAATCCCGATGGCAAACACCGAGGGGGGGGGGGGGCATGCGGGAAACTACAATTATTGGAGTATTCGCGGGAGGGAGTACCGATGCAATTTTCCGGGCAACACAGCGCTGCATGGGGGGGACGTGTTCGTGGCTGCAAAGCCAGACCGGACACGGGCATTAACTTTTGTTAATAAGCACGGTGACCACTAGACTTACGGTGCTCATGTTACAATTAAGATGGGCCCATTCTGAGTTATGTTTCGATTTGCCTTCTTGAGAACATACGTCTGACGGCTTGAAAACAGGAAGTTTGAGCAAGAGGAACCCTTGCAGGCGCCGGCCCACAAGCTTCGGCGTATGACCTCACCGCCGCACAGATTCGGAATTCTCTCTGCAGCTACTAACCTAGTACTTTTACGTCCGGTTTCCGCGTGTACCCACAAGCCGTACTGCACCTCAGCGTTGCCGCCCACGCTATATACCGTATACGACACAAGACAACACACACCCTAGACCGATTTTCAAAGCTCGATTACGCCACCACGAAGAGGGGGCATAAACGAAACGAAACGTTTTCGGAAAGCTCTCGACGAGACGGCTTCAACGCCGCCGTCTTCGGCGCTGTGACTCTTTCTGCTTTCTGCTGATGGTCGGGGAGATCTATTGCTGTTGGTCGGAGAGATCGGAGGATCACCCATTGTTTCGCCCAGAGGGTTTTGTAGGTTTTGGTCACATACTTGCTGTATCCAGCAAAAAAAAACGCGAATTTCCCGCGCACACGTATCTTTGCGCGGAAAGAAACACGTCATGAAGCAAATATTGGAACAACAAAACTTGGCGACAAGGTACATGGTGGTTCCGGGTAAGAGTCTTGAGCGAAAACAAACTGCACATCTTGCTTGGTCGAGAAAGTTCAAACACGCCCTGATTATAAGGTAAATTGAGAAGAGGTGGGTAAATGGGCGAGCTCACGGGAGGTCTCAGTCAGATCTACAACTTTGGGGAAAAAAACTTGATCAAGAAGAGCTTTTCCATGTATTTATCTACAAAAGGCCGAACATAGAGAGAGTTGATTCGGAATCGTTCGTGAGGCAGACCGCTGCAAACGTCGCCAACGACAAGATATGCTCGAGGGAGGTCTGGACGGTTAAAGTTCCGTCTGTGCCCCCATACAATATGCATACTGTACTTGTAGAATAGACTGCTGTTTCCCTCCACTCACTGAAACGGCTTCAGCACACCCCTTTCGACTTTGGTTACATTATACATAAAACACCTCGAACGGGTACAGCAGTAGGTGTCTTTCTGTGTCTTAATATGACACAACGAAACCATCTCTATCATAGAAAAGAGTCTGAGACAGATTAGCAATGGATTCATAGCGTCAGGAAGTACCTGTATGTCTACGATTTCCCAGACAGCATATAGGGACATCTCCCCTGCGGGCAACAGGCTCAACAAGACAGTTTGGTAGCTGTCTTGTTGTATTTTATTATTAGATTGAGCGCCGTGGGTACATGAAGTATTCCATGTACGAGAATTTTCAAAAAATTACTTCGGACACGTGAATTCAATTGGACACGTCCGGGGAAACCTGTACCATATGGCGTACCATCCACCCACAGATTGACTCAAGCGAGATGTGCCTCTACTTCCTGCTACATATAGCCTGTGGTATGGCACGGCGTGCACACTTCTCGGAGGGTCGCGTAGGACCGGCGGTGATTTTGCTCGCGTGGTACGTATGGTGGTCGCAAAACAGAACTGAGGAAAACTCCCGCTGTTGGGCGCATTCTATACCTCCCTTAGGACGCACTCCCACGCGGGCAACGCACTCCAACAAGGGCGAAGTACAGCGGCTCTCAAGCTCCACTGACTGCTGTACTCCCACAAAATGTGTTGAAGAAAAGAATGCGATCCCCAATGCATATGGGCGTCGGTCTTTTTACACCGGTAGCATACAACTGCATATAAACTGGACGCATCGTCAGCACAACGTCCCCCCACAACGGGAGGAAGGCCGCACACACTTTTTTTTTTTTTTCTCCGGCTTCCATCTTGCCGGCTGCTTGGAATCAGCCGGTCGTTCCCTGCCGTGTCGATCGTGAAGTGTTGCTTGTTGCTTACTGAATGTACACTGCTGTACACATCAAAAATGTTGATTTTTTTCGTCTAGACCATTTCTGCGGTGTTTTGGGTTCAGGCATGCCGTGGGGGGGTATTTGAATGATGAGAGAAAATTCCACGGTTCGTCATTTTGGGAACATCAATACTAAACGCCGTTGGAAGCCTGGCGGGCAACGAAACAGAATACTCCCAGCGGGGAGTAAGTACACATTTTTTACCCCGTCAAGAGGAGATAGGCCCAACAACCACGAGCAAATAAATTTTGATCTTTCGTTTCCGGCGAACGCATGACAGGACCAACCAACATCGCTCGCTCTTGACTCTCCTCCTCCCTTGTGCAGTAGCTGCAATGGAGAACACGGTGAAGACATGCTAATCGCTTTTCTTTCACCTCTCTCATGAGCGTTGGTTGTGTAGAGTAAATTTACATGTGGTCGATAAGGGACTCCAGAGCCTCAATATCGAATCTTATTATTGTGGCCCACATACCTCCGGCAGTATGTAGCAGACAACAAGCTGCTTGCTGCTGCTGCTGTGGTGATGGGCGCGTATATTGTATGCATACACTTGTACGCGCCGTTTTCAAGTGCCTCTCCATCCCTCTTTCGCTCCTCTCCATGTTGTACCTGCCTCTCTTCGATGTCTAACCCCCCCTCCCGTCTCTCTCGCCCTCTCTTCTTTTCTCAAAAAAAGCCCTTTTGACACAGAATACTTTTATTTGTGAACGAAAGCAAGATACAGAGAGCGTCTCCAATCTTACTACTGCACAGGCAGTAGAGTAGCCGCACACCCCAACGTCACGGTGGTGTGGTACCGAGCAGCCCGCTTCTTGTTTCGGCCGGCATCATGCGCACCAAACACACACGTCTGCCACACGCCCAAGTCTGTTCTTCCGACAGGGGTGGATAGAGCACCCTTTCCCTACATACATGCGGTTTGTACGTGCACACACCCAAGCAAGGAGGGAAAGATAGATAGCCCAACGGAACTTACAATGTCAGCAGGCGACAACAACTCCGTGCAGTCGGAATCCTGGGAGCAGCAGCTCTGGGCGCTCCCCAACTCCGCCAAACAACAGACCGCCGCCACCGCAGCAGCAGCAGCCGCCCCCATGAGCTTCATCTTGCCAGCACGTACGTCTGTTTACTTTTACTGGTGTGCGCGTGATTGCGGGCGGTGGGCAGCAGATGAACTTCCGTGCCTGTCCTTCCCTCTCCTCTGCCGCTGCCTCTTGTACGAAAAAACAACCGTGGCAGATGGAACCAGCCAGCCAAGTTTCAAGTTTCCACTTCTTGAAATGAAAAGCGAGTAGAAGGGGGGAGAGGGGATCACCACCTGCGGAGAGAGGGAACTCTTGTTCTCTCTCTATTATCTCTGTCTCTCTCTGGCTGGCACCTCGCGGCAACAAATGCGAGTCGCAGGTGAAAAGTAGCGGTCCGGCGCCTTGGGTCTGACAGCCGTTCGCAGAGCGGGAAGACTTTATCAAAAGTTTCGATCGTAGATCTTAGAACCTCGGCTGTAACCGCCGGCTGGTGTTTGTGCGCATGTTTCGTGTTTACTTTCTGCGTTCGCCGAGATTCGCCCGGGCCAAGAGGTCAAAGGCCCCTCGCACCATACCGACTAGCAAATTCGCGGCCCATCAGCGCCAAGAACAGTTGGGGGAGTGCAAAGGGAATAACCACCTGTGGCATAATGCGATCAAGATGATGCATTGATATATGCAGCACGGTGAGAGTCCCGAATCTGACTACAGGACCCACTGCTCGACGTACCAAGACGACAAGACTACGGAGAGCAGCATATTATACAGCAAAACTAACGCGCATGTAGATACCACAGCCAGTTTCCGTAACATGAAGCGTGCTGTGTAGACTATCGCACAACACCGCGAAGAAATATATGCTTTGCTGGCAAATTTTTGTAGCGGGGAATCACCATGTGGTGGCGCGTCGTGGCTGTGGCTGTCCGCGAGATAGCATATGTTTAGCACAGCCTACGGCACTGGGTACCACACAAACCCTGATGGCGAGGACAGCGGCGGAAATCAGGTACACATTCCAGTTTGTTGAAAGCTAATATGGTTGATTGGTCGATCGGTCTTTCCAAATTAACATTGTGCTACTCTGTGGTTCTCTTGTTTTGTGTTGTTGGTTGTTTACATCTAGTTCACCTCCCACTGACATGAATCTGGGCGGCGCCGGTGTACACATTTCGGTTACCAACCGGGGTCACCGGTGGAGTATTTTGCTTTTTCGACCGCGCGTCAAGTGTTGACTGCTGTAGACTGCATAGTCTATGTACAGCAGTAGTACGGACAGAAGAAGGTACTGGGCAGAGAGAACGGAAGACAACAACAACAACAACAACAACAACAACAACAACAACTACAGACTACACTAAATACTTTTAGTCTACGCCTGCCTTCTACCGTCATAATCGCAATCTACATTTTGTGTACATAACGTAGGGGGGATAACATGGATACGAGGTTTCCAACCGAGAACCAGCGGGCGGGGCTGCCGTTCAAGGTTCAAGATACATAATCAAACGGTCACACTTTCCCGGGTCGGTGACGTTTCGGACAAAAGGAGATCAATAGGAGGGGTTGGTACAAAGAGCCCACCCTCGACAAACAAGCGAAGCCAAGCAAAATCAAGACAATCAAACAAAAATCAATGATCACCACAACTACGACCGACCATGAACTCGCGTGGTTCTATCCTTGTCGCCTTTTGTGCATAGATAGGCCGGGATGTATCCCTGCCTGCGGTTTGCACCAGCCACCCCATCACCCCTCACACACGCACAAAACAGACACGCAGGGGCAGAAAGGAATTGCCGAAAAATTGCCGTAAAAATGGTTATGAGAATGGATGATGGTCGTGGTGAAAGCAAGGAGGAGGATGGTGAAAGCACTCCAAAACGAACTCGAGTGCAAGGTAGCAGCATTGGTAGACACGTGCAGTTTTCTTCTGTTGCTACCGTTTCTGTCTTTCATCCGGAGAATATAGCTTGGCCCTTCCCCATGCCGCCCCCTCACGGGGTCCCAGTTAATCGCGTTTAGAAGTTTTTCGTGTTTTCAACCGCGCTGCAACTAACGTATTTTCATTGGCCAGCCGGTTAGCGCGGTCGATGCTAATAATAACAACAGCCAGGGGCGTGGTACAACAAGGTCGAGGACGGGGCGGCATGGTTCATGAGGAAATGGCACAGACAGGAGGCGGAAGCGTCCGCGAAGCGCAAGCCCGCGAGGGAAGCAGGAGCAGGGAGTACGGCCATCTCGGGACCGAACAGAAAGAGAGTCGGGGAAGCGGCGGTGGGGGGGAAGAAACGGCGACCGGGCGCTGCTGCTGTAGAAGCGAGTAGGGCGGCCGAGGCAGCACTTTTGGCGAACTATGTACCCGGCTGATGTTGTTGCGCCCTGTTCCCCTCCCTGCTGTATGCTATACTCCTGTATGTCCTTTGTATTGCCTTCGGCCTCAGTGCTGTGCTTCTGTTTTCATGTCCTCCCTGCCTACGCTGCCTTGTTGGGTACCTTGATCTCCCTTTTGCCGCTGCTGTTGCTTTTGCTTTTATATAGATGGCTGTCTGCCCATCTGCCGCCTCTTTGTTATGTTGCCTTCATTACTCCCATGCCCTGGTGCGTAGTGCCTGATGCTGGTACGGTACCCTTTGATATTTTTAGACGGGTGATGGAAGCGTCCTCCTTTTTCCCTTTTTATTTTTGCCTTTATTTTTGTATTGTTTTATTTTGATCGGTCTCCTAGGACTCCTTTTCTCGACCGGTCGGTCGGTAGCTGTTCTTTTCTTTCTATCATTTTGCTTTCTTTTTCCGAGTGGTTTGTACTCTATTCTTGTTTTGTTTCCCCGCGGCGTCGTATGTGCCGGGTTTTGCGACCACGGGCTCCCCATTTTTGTGGACTATAGAGGTAATGTGAGAGAAACAACAAAACAAACAACAACAACCTGGCAGACCCGTGCATTTTTCTTCTGTTATTGCTACGGTATCGGAATGTATGTATAGCGTAGACTCCCCCATGACGCTCGGTCACAGGTTTCCAGATCGTGGCCTTAGAAGTATTTTGTGTTTTCCACCGCACTGAGACTGAGGTATTTTCATTGATCAGTCGGTTAGCGCGGTCGATGCTAATAAAAACGACACACACGGGTGATACCATGATACCTCTATGTTCCTTTTAGTTATCATTCCCGCATCCCTACAGGGGAGTTTCGCAGGTCATACTCTCGCCCCCGCTGCACGCCGACACTTGAAAACAAATGAAAAGGCAATACACTACAGTTAGCGCTCTAGGATTGGCCGAGGCTGGGGTTCTAGACTAAGTTCCCAGGGTTAGGCTACGAATGTCCGATAATCGGGTTTAATTTTAAAGAGGTTATTGACCGAGCTCACAACTGGAGCTCAAGTTCTCATGTTTCGATATAATCATGTTGAGAGCATGGAATTCGTAGCTGCCAATTCTTAAGTGTGAGCGCTTTAACTGTAGGCCACAAAAAAGGCAAAACATCATCGATCATTACGCCGCATAAGATAGGGTGCGATTGAAAGAAGAGGATTAGCAATACGTATGACAACGAGATACATGGCAGATTCCTGGCCCTCGATCAAATTCAGTCCGGCACATATTGTTCTTCACGTTCTAGCATCCTCCTCCTGCTCTCCTCGGTCGCAGATGCCGCCTCAGATGTGTGTATCGACGCGCAAGCCCTTGTGTACCCCGCTCCCCCTCGTGTAGCTGGCGTCGTTGCTTTCTTGAGTCCATTGCTGTCCCGTTTAGACGCACATAGTCGGCTGGCCACGTCTTCATCCGTATGCCGGGAGATCATGAACCCTCCGGCCCCCGCAGCACTCCCGCGTACCTCTTACACCATCGCTGCGAAGGCCGCGATTGCGCCAGGAACTCCGACTGTTTGCCGATGTACTTCCGCAGATTCGTCTGTTGCTCCCAACGCAGGAACTCGTCCCTCAGGAACTTTGCTGTTTTGTCTCCTTGCACCCCTTGCCTGGATCCTCCCCCCCACTCCATGATATTCCCAAATATTACTACTCGCTTCGGGGGTGGCCGCTGTCTGGCCAAGGTTTCCGTGAACAGCAATCCCCGTGGTCGGACAATGGCTTCGGCGTTTCGCCACAGCATCATTTGAATAAGGGTCTGGGCGAACGAAAGTTGTCGACAACTACCACCCTGTAAGCTCGTAGGAATAAATAAGCTATTTAGTGGTTTTTCCTCCTCAATAACTGGTACCAGTAGGTCACGGCGCGGAGCCCGCGTCACGCATCCGTACAGTACATCCTCCGTCGCCTCCGCTTGCAGCAATCGGACCTTGTTGGAGTCTCTCCCCGGTGCTGTCTGCCGGTCGTCCACGTGAGTGCGGCCACGCTGCTCTGTTCCAGTGGCTGATCTCCAGCGCAAGTTCATCACCTTCATGGACATGGTCTCCCAGGTATCGGGACTCGGCAGTCTGGGCGTATTTTCCCCCGCTGCTTCGATCACCAGTGGTGACAGGGGGCGAGGCGGCGGTGGCAGCGTTGATTCCCTCTCCTTCGTCCGCTTCGTCCGCTTCCGCGGTACCCGCATCGGGACAGCCTCTGCCTTTTCCTCCAACACTCTCAGGCCAAAGGCTCCAAACGCTTCCTCCTGGCGAAATGGTTTTTCAATGGCAGATACAATGTAATCAGTATACACGCTGCACAGCATACCACCGATTATCGGGCACGTTTCTCTGACAAAGAACAACTCAATTGATTCCATTGAATGTGATGAGTACATAAACACCGTTTCGGTGAGAGCAGTCATCAGGTTGGTTTTTCGAACCATTCCCCGCGATTTGGGTAGGGTGCCGTTCATCCCGATGCTGCAGAGTTTACACCGCGTGGTGCTGGTGTTTCTGACCAACATGTTTCGCTTTCATTGACGCTCGTGCATGGTCCTGCGGCGACGCGTTTCTTCGTTAAAGGCCTTGCGCACGCGCAGCTATGGAGGCGAATGTCACAGAGCTATGGCAGATTGTGGAGGCGCTGCAGGTCGAGGTCGGGTCCATGCAGACGGACATGGACTCCCTGTGGCTCATGGTGGGGGCCATCCTCGTCGTGTGTGAGCGAT